GCCTTAAGGGGGCATGTATTTATACCAAGTTGGATCTCCGGGGTGCCTATAATTTGGTGCAAATCTGTGCTGGCGACAAGTGGAAGACGGTTTTTGGAACTCGTTATGGTCAGCATGAATACCTGGTCATGCCTTTTGATCTAACCAACGCTCCGGCTGTGTTTCAGCGGTTCATGAACGTCATCTTTCGGGACCTGCTTGATCATTTTGTGATCATCTATCTGGATGACATTTTGATTTACTCCCAAGAACCTGCTCAGCACATGGAACACGCGTCTTATAGATGGAAAAATATGGTAATTATTACCTTTGTTAGGCTAACCAAAAGGTCAATAGAAATATACATACTAGATATTCAGAATCACTTTACAAATAGTACAAATGCAGCACAAAAGAAATTACTAAAATGATATGGCGAAGGAAATGGGTCAGACTATTTCCAACTTGTGTCACCATCTTATATAAGTATTGTCATCTTTTTGGGAATTTGCACAAAATATATGCATTTAAATTCAACTTATTTTCGAAAGATTTCTCCATGAAGTTCTCATTTCAACATATATTCTGTCTCGGCCAATACAAATAGTTTTTATCCTAAAATATGCAATTCTGTATACATTTTTGAGCAAATAACTGCATTCAAAAATTCAGAGGAGTATGAAACCTGAAAGCTAAGTTCCCAAACTCAAATTTTATATTTTAATTGTCACATTAAATCTGGGACTTACTGATAAGGCCATTTTTTACTAGAATTTACAAAAAATGAATTCCTCATGCACCCTATTTACAACATGGAACATCTGGCTCACATATAAATAAAACAGAAAGTGCTATTCCCTACATAATCAACTGAAGTTAGCAACTATGTATTATTTTCATTTATTTAAATTAATAAGACATAAGCAGTTATTGAACCTTCTTACCCAAGTCAATTTAGAGATGGTTATTTTCTGCTGGATTTTCTTCCCAGCACTAATGGGCACAACAAGCAAAAGAACAGCCACATATTTCAGAAGTTAAGTTTCACCCAGATAAGGAGCTTAAGTATCTACAAAATGGTTTCAACCCTAAAATTCAAGTTTATTCAGGCAATGTTTCACAAAATACCAGAGCTGATCAGAAACAGAGTTTATATTTGCAGAAAGTATTTTATTTTAACTTGCCGCCTTAATCTAAAATGGTTAAATCAGGTCTTTGCATATCATACAGCATATCATCCTGCTGTAAGATTCCAACTTTGTGTTTCAAGATGATTACGTCCTCTATTATTTGTGCTTTAATATTTATTCAGGATTTATTATTCCTTTCAGAGCATTTCTAAATCATACAATTTCACATACTGTATGTTTATTTGCCATGAGAATAAAACAACAACACTTTGCAGTTCACACTGTGGAAGGTTAACTAAAAATAAACTACCACAGTATTTTCACAATTTCCTGACCTAATTGGAAAAGTTCAAGCATTTCTTCTGAAAAGCATCTGCCCACACACAACAGCTAGAGCTAAAACAGAAAATGGGTTTTAATATATAGTATTTAATATTTTATAGATTTTTGCACTACATTTGGTTCTCAGGCTGGAAATTTGAAAACATAAGACCTGAACTCTTGATTGACTTGTTGCTAGCCGTCCTTCTAAGCCTGGATAGAATAGGTTGTTTCAATGGTCAAAGCAGATCCTTAATACTACTAGCTCAAGAATGACTTATCGACCACCCAGCAGGAGAAAAAAGCCTAGCAGATCAGCTCTTAGCTCATTAACTCCAAAAGTCTGCCTTAATACTACTGTTGCTGACCAAGGGACCAAATTTAGAATTCATCTCCCTGCTTGAACAAAAAGGGGGGAAATCCTCATTACAGTGGGAAAAGATTCAAAACAAATTCTTGCTAGAATAAGTAATTAGTTTCTTTTAAGGCTAATTTCTATTGCAAATCCTCAAATACAAGAGCCTGCTAACTTGAATTAACCTGTAGAAGTAAGGTCACTATGTCAATTCAGAAACAAACAAACAAACAAAACAGCTGCATTATGCTTTTATATACTTCAAGATTCTGTAGATGGTTTTTCAATCATGAATACTCAAGCTAGCCAAACATTAAAAACACTACATAAATATTACACCAATAAAACCACCATATCTAAAATAATACAAACCACGAAAATTATCCATTTAAAGTCAGACACTGATTTTGCTGAGAGAAATTTAGGTATTTATTAAAAACATTTCTACTCCACCTTTTCCCTTAAAAGGTGGCTTACATAGTTAAAAGACAATATTAAAGAAAACAAAAATGAGTCTACAAATACTAAAAAGGCTCAAACAAATGCCATACAAAAACTCATAAGCATAGGTATATACTTAAGTCTTCCCATGTGTTTAAAAACTACCACTAAAATTAGTGCAATATGAAAACACCTAAAACATGTTAAGATTTTGCCCCACTTCCTATGTATGCTTATTCAGAATTTATTTCAACAACACTTACGCCCAGATAATTATGTGTAGGATGGCAACCTCAATTTTGTTTTTTTTTAAATATTTACTTGGAGTGAAAGAACCATTATGCTGTAAGCAATTATCACATGCAGTCTATTCCTACATGCCTACTTTCTTAGAAATAAGTTATATTAGATTAAGTGGAACTTAAGTTTGAATAAAATGTACAGGAGGGAACTTCACTGAAAATTCCCATTTACATATTAAGAATAAGACTGAAGTCTAGTACTTGCCCCCATTCTTGACTGTTCCAAATAAGTTTGCAGAATCACACAATTAGATCACCTGTTGTAGCAGAATTATTTTAAAGTGTCTGCTTAATTAGCAAACCTAATTACTAAATCTTTGACTAATACGTTTGTTTTAACACATAAAGCAACTGACATTTCTCCCCACCCCCCATTTCAATTCAGACTACAGGAAAGCAAGACAACAATGGCTGAATTCCTGTTGCACTGTTACAGAAAAGACATTAACTTTTAGCAGTGAATTGCTGCAGGTTAAGAAATCTCTGTATACCTTACCTGTTGCAGACCAAGTTGTGCAATCTCATATGCAATATATAATGCCAGAGAGACTTCTTAACATGGCGATTTGCTGCTAAAAGTTACACCCTTGGTATAAATGCACAACAGGATTTTGACCAATACAGTATATTAAATCACTGACCAGTTCCTGCCCCCCAGCCAGGGTGAGTAGGCAAATCTAATCTAACTATATGTTATGGTATCATATTCTGTAACTTTTAAATGTCTTTTTGGAACATTATCAAACTTTTAAAAAGTGATATCTTTTATAATCTTCACCTATATTCATTTTCTGTTAGAAGTCTAGATGGGGACAACTAACTGCCTCTGTAACTCAGAGTGACCCCACTGGATACTAGAAACAACATCTCCAAGGCCATCCAAATTTATGGAGACCTTTAAGATCTTGCTGCCTATTTTAACCAGCAAACAAAGATAGCCAATCTAAGCAAAGAGTTAAAAATAAGCTCTTCACAGTGACAGTGTTTTTATCAGCTTCACCAAGCTGCAATGAAAGGATTCTCCAGAACTCTTTTTAAAGCTTATTTCCCCTGCTAAAACTTACACTGTACAATTTTATATTTTCAAATTCTGGACCCCCAACATATATGATTACCAAATGGGGCTGTTGATAGCGGAAAGCATAGCTGAAAAAATGGGATTCTACACTAGGACAAGAAATAGAGCATCATTTTGAACTGTATCCCTTTCCTCTCACCTCAAAATTTTCATAAGCATTGGCTGAACACAACAAGGATTCACACCTGCCAGAAGCCATGAACACACAAAAACCCTCCCTCCCATGTTTCTTCGCTGCCATCAGATTTTCTCTACCATATCTACAACATACTACTATGCACATACATTAACATACAACTTTTGTCAATACAGTACTGAAAAATAAATAATTGGGTCAGAAGAAATACATGTCTTGATACACCTGCATGTTTACATTATCAAGACACATACAGAATGACAAAGCAGGCTCTTGAAGTTTTCTCTGAAAAACATCTGATAAAATCCACATTCTTGGTCAGGGTTTCAGAATGCCATCAATGCATTAGATCAGTTCTGAGTTAATATGTTTATTGCTATGATATAGTACCTGCCAGTCCACGAACACAATTCTTCCTGCAAAACTCTGTATGGTGGCAGAGACTAATAGCTTAAAGGGGAGTTATCTGAACATGGACATGTTAGTTGGGTGCAGAAAGAGGACCAGAATGAAGTGCAAAACACACTGGGGGGAAATATGCATTTAAGCCAACAGAAAAAGTGTTGCTCTTAAAGAATCCGAAAGACAACAATGCCAACAACAGCTTCAATTAACTAACTTGGAAGTTGCCATCGAGTGAGGCACACAGAGAAGAAACATGGGTCACACATGAATTGCAACTTTTCTAGCATGAATACATGACAGCCAAACCACACGCCTATTAGCATACTCAATGAAAAGTATCAGTTCCCCCACACAGACATATTGTAATGTACACAAACACGGGAGAAAGACGACAGACGTGGAGGGGGGGGGCAAAGAAAGCAGGGGACGAAAGGCAGGTTCGAGAGAACCGAGATCTCAGGAGACGAACCAGACACGGAGACGAAAGTTCACACACGAGAAAAGGGCGGCGGGCGACGAGGGAGGGAGAGAGAGCAGAAAGGAGAGACTGAACGATCCATGTCAGAAGAGGAGCAGCAGCGCCTCCCTCACGGCACCGTCCTCTCTCACCCAGGCGGCCCCAGAAAGAGGTTTCCATTTCCATGGAGGTCCCTAAGAATTACACAAGCCGCGAGGGTGGTCGTGGGGAGAAGCAGGCGAGGAACTTGAGGTCGGGGAGGGTGGGAGGACGGACGACACCGGGCCTCAGGAGCGGAAGCCTCTTCCGCCTCCGCCCCAACTTCGCCCTCCTCTCCCGGGGAGAGGGGAACCTGTTGCGCGGCTTCAGGACTACGAAAGCGAAAGGGCGCCTCACCTTCACGTCCGCAAGGCTCGGTCTCTGAACCGCGAGGAGAGGCGCCCCCGGCGCTACTTTAATCTCAGGCCCCTCCAAACAACAAGCCACGGGCCGAAGGCAGACGGCGAGACGGAGTCCTCCCGATTCACCCCGCGCGCAGCATCACAACTTCGGCAGCCCCCGCCCCGCCCCGCCTCCTGTGCCAGATCCCAGCAACGAAACCACCTCTCGCTCGCTCGCTCTCCCCCGCCCCGCCCGCTCGCTCTCGCGGCAGCAACTCCTCCTAAGGCGCCTGCGCACTCCAGTTTTTCTCTCCCTCTTCTTTTTCCCACCGCTCCTTGAGCCCCGCCTCTCAAAGAGGGAAGGCGTGTCTGGGGAACGTGCGCCTTTACCTCGAGTGGCTGAGCTTGTTTGAGACGTCACGAGCGTCGAGCGGCGGCCTGGGCGGACTCCGTTACCTGTGTTGTGTTGTTGTTGTTTTTTTTAACGTAGTTTGGCGGGTTAGGCAGAACTGCGTCTGGTGCTGTGAGGCTGGTGAAAAGCGCAGTGATAGAGTCCTTGCTGTCCTCCTGCTCAGGCACAGCTACTTGTGACCATTGGGGGGGTAAAAAAAGGCGAATTTTTCTTACACTCACTTTCCATGGCGAGAAGGGAAAACTATTACATCAAATGATTGATTACCAAACTTTAAAAATACCTTCTCCATAACAGAAGATTTATGTTCATCGAATAATTTTTGGAAATGAGGATCAAGAATTAATAGTTAATTAGTTAAACATGCCTTCACTAAATAAATCTGAACAGGTGCTTTTTGTAATGTTGAGGGAACTGCGAGTTGCCCTTGAACTTATTAGACAATGTTACTAAGATTTTAGAAAATGTTTTGTACTTCGTTTTGTATTAATACACTAATATTGAAATAATTGTGAAAAAAATGTACCGTTCTCTACCCACATGGCTTCTCTGTTTTACTCAGATTTATCCATCCCCTGCCCCCTCAAGTGTGGGGGCAGCAATAATAACCTGGTGGCAGAAAAGGAGGTACCAACTTAGTATCTTCAATTTAGCAATTCACCAAATGTATCTGTGAAGATTTTCAGTCATTCAGGACAGGTTATCTGGAAGTTGAGTCATGGCAACTGGACTTCTTTCTTACTGTATTAGGCTGAAATGCTTTGCTACTCATCCAAGCAGCTTCTTCAGTCTGAAGAGAGTTGATAGTACAGTATACCCAGATATATCCACTTCCCCCTGGTCTGAATAGGCTGTTAGAAGGACGAAGGACTGAGGGAGGTGAGTGAAAATCCCACTTCTGCAGTCCTTCTCCACCTGTCCCCAGAAAGATCAGGACCACACACACCAGGAAGACCACTGTTAACAACCCATGACGATGGGTGGAGAAGGACTGCAGAAGTGGGATTAACACTCACACTCCCTTTTTTGACCATCTAAGAAGCCTTTTCAGACCATGGGGAAGTGAAATCAATGTGGAGGATGTATCAGGAGTCTTACCAACTAGTGAAACATTTCAACCTAAGAAGTCCAGTTGCCATGACTCAACTTTCAAATTTGTCAGATGGTCAAAAAAGTGAGACATCTTAAAATATTGTTAAGTTTTACTTTGCATAAACTTTTGTAGATTGTAGGCTACTCTTCGAGATGCATCTGGAGAAGTGGGCTCCAGTTGACAAACATTTAAATTACTCTTGTCTTTAAGGTGCCGTTCGGTTGTAAGGTGTTTTTGCTAACATGGCACACCCCTGCCCCTAAAAAGTTCACCTGATGTTGCCACTGACCTTTTTTTAAAGTGGCTATAATATCTTCTTGAAAAGTGAAGTCTTCTATGAAAAAAAGCACAAAAAATATTAGTTTGACTTGTGGTCATGGAAGCCCCTTGAAAGTTTATTTATGATCCAAAGTGTTTTTAGCAGTAAGTGAAATTGGACTAAACTGGACTTTGTCTATTGATATCCATGACTGCAATTCTCTATATTTAAGCCTTATTTGGATATTAAAAAAACTGCTTGTTGTGATATCATACACAACACAGAACCTCTGATGTTGTTGTGTATAGTATTATAATAGGGAAGTCCACTTGTATACAATTGTAGGCATCTGGACAGTTCAAAGAATAGGAGTCTGGAGATGGGGGGAGGACTATAATGTTCATGAATCAGTTCTCTGCTCATGAATACAGACTATGTTTTTATATGGCTGAACAAAGTTTTAACAGAACTGGCTTCTGAATAAAAAACAAGCATAGGATTAGATTGAACAGCTTCAAAGATGTACAGAGTCTGTTTACATAAGGTTAAACTCAAAGAATAAACTGCATAGAATTGTAGCTGACAACTTCATTGCACTTTGTCTCATCCTAGCTGAAATTTCTTCAAACATGAGCCACTTTCAGCATACCAGATGCAACATCTCTTGCCCATAGAATGTCCAGCAGTCAATGCTTGAACATGGTTATCAGAGTAATATTTACAGGTAAGTAAGGCAAGAGAAAGGTATTTACAGTGTAATGTTTAGACCATAGATGTTTTGTAGAAATAATAAAATGAAGAGTTCATCTAGTATAATCCTGTCAGTTAAATGTGGACTAATTTTATTTTGTATTCCATTCAGAGACGTACAGAAAGTACTTTGTAAATACACAGAAATTTATTTGGCTGGCTCAGTAATGCCTACAGAGCGCTGGAATTCTTGCAGAGAACTTTAGACTGGATGGCCCTTTATCAAATGCAGTGAGACTTTTTTTAAGGTTCCTCAGCAAGATCACATATTAACCATAGTTCTTTCCATCAAGTGCATTATGTTTTAATTGTTAAGGGATGTCAAGTGCACACTTTCACCTCCCACATCTAAATCAAATTGATCTAGTAGTGATTTTAGTAAAGGCAGTGGTAATAGACGAGAAAGTAAATTGAGGCTTTGATAGTGTATATTATTTATTTCAAGCATTTTTATCCTGTTAAAAGACTCTGAGATTTACAAAGATTTATAGAAAGACAGGCCCTTCTATGCTGAATAATAGGATTGATTAATTATATTATTAATTAATTAGGAATTTATTTTAACTCATTTCAATGTGTTTTAAGTGTCTCAAGCCACAGTCCAAGCAGTATGCAAACAGCACAGACTTTGACCTGTTTCGAAGATTTATTTGATGACTACTGCGGCATTTACAAGAAAACAACCCATAGCTCATTTTAAATATAGCTTGTTTCTTTGTTTTTGGAGCTACAGTGGTTCCTGTTATGAAACAAAACTCCCCCTGCATGCATGGCAATTCACTGTGCATGCATATTATCTCATTGGATCATATTATTTGAATTGTTCCATTTCAGGTGCCTTTTTATGTGAGTCTCATCCTTCCCCTTTCCACTGCTTTTTACTTTTGCGAAGTTTCTATTATTTATGCTGTATTATATATGTTTATTTTTATTATTCTTTGTTTGTTAGCCGCCTAGAGTGGTCCTGAGCTGACTAGATAGGCGGGATAGTAAATAAATAAATAAATAAATAAATAAATAGCTTGTTTTATTTATTTCTCAATAAGCAAAGATAAGAAAAGATATGTTCACTGTCCATGCTAACTTGCCCTTAATTTTGACAAAAGGGAAATATCCCTAGAAATAAATGCAGTTTCAGTGGGCCCTCGACTTACGAACAGCACTAGTTGTGAACGTTTTGGGTTACGAACCCGATCTCATAGGAAACTATAGACCCTACTTACGAACGCGGAATCGAGTTACAAACCGAAAAAAGGGGGGAAGGGGGAAAAAAGAGAAAAACTCTGCCCCTAGTGGTAGGAATGGATTAAGCAGCTTTGCATTAGTTCCTGTGGGAACTAATGAATCGACTTGCGAACCGCCCCTCGACTTAAGAACCAAAAACAGCTGGAACCGCTTAAATGGTTTTCAGTGCATTCCTATGGGAAATGCTGATTTGAGTTATGAACTTTTCAGGTTACGAACGGACTTCCGGATCGGACTAAGTTCGTAAGTCGAGGGCGCACTGTACTAGAGCGCAGGGCAAGATGTTCAATACCGACTTGCGAACCGCCCCGAACTGGAGAGTTCATAAAGAAAACTGAAGAGGAGACAATGTTAAGGCATTGTCAGTTGGCAGCCACATGTTTTCACGAATAATTAAGGAAGAATGCATTCTATAGTGTATTTTTTCTAATAAGCCTGTATTGTTATTAATAATTTATATAGTAATTTTGCAGCCCATCTCTTTGAATGTTTACTTAGAAATTTATTTATTTATTTAATTTATATGCCGCCCACTCTACCCAAAGGTCTCTGGGTGGCTTACAACAATTAAAATTCAATACAATAAAATATAAAATGATGAAAATACAATTAAAATACAATTAAAATTGCCATCATCAAGACCCACAGTTGATGTTATTTCAATTAAAAACCTTCTGGAACAGGAAGGTTTTGACCTGGCGCCGAAATATCATCAGTGTTGGCGCCAGACGAATTTCAGTCAAGAATTTAGTGTCAAGAAATTGGTTTTTTAAATATCCAAACACTTTGCTCCATTATTGGCTCATGACTAAGGTGCAGTGCCTTACTCTCAGCACAGTAACTTGGTAATTAATGAACTATAGCTATATTAGATCATAAATTTCCTTGCTAATAGTTCTTATGATAATCATTCAATGATCTGGTTTTCCATGTGATATTTTCTGTCAGGAATATGGTTCAATATAGTCTGCATAGGATCTGTTCTCGGTGGATTTATGTTTCATCTGAAGAAACATGATTAGCATGTTGGGAATGTTTCTTAAACCATCTCTGCCACTTTGAGGCACAGGCTTTCTTGATGGCGTAGTGATGCTTTAACCAGTGTAGGTTGACTTGCCAGTTACCTGCCTACCTGGGCAGAGAGAACCTAATGTGAGTGATTTGTGTTCTGTTGATGTCCTGTTGTTGTTACTTTTTTGTTCTTCTTCTGGTTGTTATGTGCAGTCAAGTCACTTCCAACATATGGAGATCCTATGAATGAGTGACCTCCAAAATGGCATGTCATTAACAGCCCTGGTTCATTCTTGCAAACCCAAGGCTGTGGGTTCATTTATGGAGTTAATACAGCTCATATTTGGCCCTCTTCTTGCTGCTTTCAACAAAAAGAGGTTCTTAATCATTAAGTATAGAAATTTTGATCTATTTTCAAGGCTAAGTCAATTTAAATCCTTGACACTGCCAACAAGAAAATTTAAGTTTTGTATGATACCTTTGAGATACCAG